GGAAACTCGGCACGTAACAGTAGTCCTCGAGGTGGAAGAGCCAATAGCTTCCCCACATATTCATCCCCACTATCCATCAACTCACTAAAACAATCCAGAAAGGGATTCCAGTGCAAACTGTGGGCCTGTTTTTTTCCTGTACCATTTGTTTTGACATCTGTAGGGAACAGAAGGGGGTCCCTTATTATCTGAACTTACAAAGAGGAAAGCAATGAACTGACTGCTCTTGATAGACTTTACACTATTTCAGGAAGTCAAACACAGTACACCTTAAAAAGAAATGTTGCCTTTTCTTTTGCTTGCCCTACCATGCAAACTCTCCAGCCCTGAAGTACAAAGAGAATACACTGCCTCTTTGCCAAGACCAAAAAAAAAAATAATCTTTTTATTCTTGAGATATTTCCTGAACTACACTGTCCTGATAAGAAAGTGAACCATGGCAGCTATTACTAGTTTTCCTCCTATACAGTTTTCCCATTGCATTACAAATTCATTGACAAATTGAGGAGCTAGTTCCACCAGAGTAGCAATAATACATAGAATCATCATGACAGTGAAATTTATTAAAAGAAATGCTGATGGACTATAAAGATGAGCACAAAAAAAACCCCATCACACTTAATTCAGCAACTCATCACAGAAACTACAACCCTACCACTTTAAAGCAATATTTAAGCATAGTCCATTCAGCACTTTTACGCCGTCTCAAACTCTAAATCAGCAACGTACACTCTTAAGGGTCTTGCCAAATTGTGACATCATCTTAATGCCTCCAGTGCCAATATGTCAAGCCCTCTCACATGACGAGGGAGAACACTCAACACCTCATTGGATCAAATTCAAAAAGCCTGAAGAGAAGCAGCAGCACAGGGAGGGAGGCCTGAACCTTGGAGTGGCATGCAGATCCCAACACTGCTCCTCCCTTTTCACACGCAGATCCATGTGGTCTCCACCTGACAAATCTACATTTACACGGTTCATTGCCCTAAAATTAAACTGTTTCTTATCTCGGCCATGTGCTTGTGTCTTGGCTTCCATTTAGCTGGTTTGTCTTTCAGAAAGGCATGTCTGAAAACAGTGGTAACAGAAAAATAATTGGTTATAAGAGCCTTAGGAAACACTGTGGAGGGACCCTGGGTGCACAGAGCAGAAAGGCAACACCTCCAAGCAACAGCTAGGCTCTGACAGCCCAGGCCCCGATCCCACGCTAAGCACAGTCATCTCACCTCAGCACACGCTGACACTCACTGGGGTTGTCAAGGGCTAGGCATGGAGGCTGACCCAGATCCACCACAGTGCAGGCTTGGGCTGTCAAAGGTAATCTTGAAGCCCTTATTCAGGATTGGATCATGCTCACCTTGGCTTCAAGTAATGTCCTTATTATGCACGTGAGATCCAAGGCCCAGGCCAGAAATGGGGTTTCCCAAACACCTTGCACAGTGCTGTGGCTAGGCATGGCCATGTCATTTCCAAGTTCAGATTCTTACCCAGACAGCAGCTAAGCCCGAATTTGTGCATGTTGAGCACATGTAGCTTCTTGCAAAATTCAAGAGCTGCAGCTGGAATCTTACAAGGCCCATAGCAAATCTTAGGTTAGACAAACAGGTTTTGAACTCAACAGGAGTTTAAAATTTCAGCATTTTCCTTGAGGTGCTCAGCAGACAGATCAGGCCAGTTGAAACCATTTTGTTTCCACAATTCACACATTTTTATAAAACCGAGATTTCTTTCATGAATATTGGTGTTATGAGTTACCCCCCCTTGAAACAGCTTAGCTCAAAGTCCTGCCTCATGAGTTACAAAAAGAATATTCTCATATTTATGAGCACTATGAGGGCCTGAAACATAACCCACAGGGAACTGCATTCAACAGCTTCAGTGGATCACACATCAGGCCCAAACTCACGTCTGATTTAAATTCATATTTGGTCCATTTTGAAAGAACTGAGGAACTAGAAATGCAGTTCCTATAACCCCAAGATTTGCTCCATGCTAAAGGTGTTTGCAAGTTTCTGACAATCAGCACAGCACAAAGCCACCTTTAGAAGCAAGAAAACAAACACCCTTACTACAATCTAACACCAGGAAAAATATTTGGCTGAAATTTTAGGTGTGAAGTATACTTGATTAAGCCAGAAGAAACAAACAAAAACATCAACATCTAGTAATGTGGAAACAAGAAGGTTTAGCTCTTTAAAAAGAAAGTAAAGATAGAAATTTGAGGTAACAAACAAAAAAACCCAAAATGCACAAACACATCACAGACATCTAAAAATAGCATTTTATACGTTTTTTTTTTTTGCCAGTGCTTCTCTGAGAGCAAGTTCTTTAAACAGAACTTAACAATTTTACATTTTTTTTTAAAAAAATATGTCATCCTAAAATAGCCCATCAATCCTTACCCAAACTTTCTGTATTTCTACAAAAATAGACGCACAAAGAGCTACAAAATACTGTATTCCTGAAGGTAGGCGCACTGTAGTCAAGGGAAAGTCTTTTTCCTGACTGTTGAGACTGTTGATAAAATATCAAGCAGAACAAAACAACACACTGTTATAGGAGCAGAAAGGAGTTAGGTTGCCCAGCTGTAGCAGGCTCAGATGAGGAAAGAAAGAAAAGTTAGGGTTTTGTTTTTCTCCAGCACTGCAGGACCCATAAACGGCCTTACAAACAAAAGGCTCAACAGCAAAAACTGAATGGTTGGCTCTTCATGTTCATGTGTCCTTTGCCCCACGCAGAAGGCGTCAACGACCATTATATCGCCTGCCCAGATGTGCTGACTCCAGCTCTAACTGGTCTTAATTTATCTGAACTTCAGAACCAAGAAGTTTCCTTGCTCTTGTCCTGATGCTGTAGACCTATATTTCAGAAAAGAAAAAAGAAAAAAAAAAAATTAACATTTTTATACATCTTCTTCCTCTCCATTCAATTGAAATAAAGATAAACAGTTTTCAATTAGGAAGATAAAAAAAAAAACACAACTTACTGGTTAGAAATACTGTTATTGCTCCAAAATTTTTTAGTTTGTGTGGGATAAGCTTAAACCACACAAGTTCTAGACTGGCTCAAGCAGTTCAGGGATGCTGATAAAATTCTGTGTGTGATTCCTTGTTTTGGCCTCATTTGGAGCATGGCATGACATGTTAAAGTCCTCCAGTGAGGTCTGTATAGGTAACCCAGTATGCAACAGAATAATTTTTTCTGATAGGGGCCACCCACAGACCCCACCTCTTTTACAAAAGGTCTGACACTTTAGGATCTCACAGTTTCTGTGACATTTCACTTTACAGAGGAGAGAGGGAAAATGTTCCCGCAGCATGTAAAAAAACCAAAATAATTTCACCTACAGAGTGCCATATTTTTAGCCAAGAATGGCTAGTGCTTCCACATGGGAAAAATTAATGATTTTCAGCTTGCACTTGTTATGAGTTCCTCTAACATTTTCCATTATGAAAAGCGAGGACTATCTAATAAATGTGGTGCTATGTTGTGGCTTTAGCATTATAGACTTGGAAACTGTATTATAATCTAGGATTTCTCTGCTCCAGAGAGATTCAATCTTTGCTAGATTTACACCCAAAAGGGCGTTTACATAAAATCCAGACAATACAGGGGGAGGTGCAGATGAAACATCCCAAAGAAGATACATTCTTGCTCACTTACAGGGAAAGTAAAAGGCGAGAGAGGTGCAGGCACATATTTTCAGAGGTAGTAAGGCACTTAGGAATCATGGATTCAAAGCCTGCCCCCTGATGTTTTGAGTCAAGTATATGCCATTTTGTGAAATGAAGGTGCACGTCCCACTATAAATCATCATTACTATATAGACAGCAGTACTCCACTCTGTCATTCTATATATTGCCCTGCTACATAGTCTACCAAGACCAATATATCAACTACTCGATCTGCTAAGAATTTAGGGTAAATTTCACCACTAATGTAAGTAGGTGCAACTCCAGACTTCAATGATGTTGTAACCTTTGAAGATCAATGTTCATTTGATCTTTAACCTGTGAAAATTGACAGATACATGTGCTAAGCATAGATCTCCCATTTTCATATCTGATCACACAGTGAAACACAAAGGAAGACCTATAAGTTTTCAGAAAACCTAACATGCAGGATGGGTTCAGATCTGATGACTACCTCATTTTAGGAGTACAAACTTGAATATTTAATGATCACAGAATCATTAAGGTTGGAAAAGACCTCTAAGGTCACCAAGTCCAACCAACACTGAACACTACCGTGACCATTAAACCATGTCCTCAAGTACCACATCTACGCGTTTTTTGAACACCTCCAGGGACGGCGATTCCACCACCTCCCTGGGCAGCCTGTTCCAATATCATGATGATCAACCTAATTTCAGAGTTGAGCTACAAAGAAATCAGCTAACAGTCACAAATCCAAACACTTATGTATCCAGCAGCAAACAGATAAGGAAAGCAGAGCACACAGGTACAGCACACCAAACTCTGTTCTGTGGCTTTCTGCTCCATTTCACATGCACTTCCACCTCTTTCCTTACATTGGAAAAACTGGGATATCCCTCAACTACATCATGCCTAGAAAAGCATGTTGAATGAAGACATCTCCTTGTTGCTTAAGAGTCACTTGTTTTCCTGGCAACATCATTCACAGGCAGAGTCATCATAAACTGCTGTTAGTTTCCTCCAAAGCTCTCTCACAGTAAGTGAGGACAATTTTGCATTATTTCCTCACTGCTGTCCACAATTCTTTAAAACAAAGATGACCAAAAAAAAAAAAAAAGAAAAAAAAAAAAAAAAAGATGGAGTCAGACAGCAGAAACCTTTGGGAGAGTAAGGAAGTCATATAAATTCACCAGTGGAGCAAAAAAGGCCACCAGAGACAATGGAAGCCTGTGAAAAGAGAAACAGGTTATGTGGCTCCTAACAGCTTAAAAAAAAAAAAAAAGGTTTGTTGGCCCCCAAAAAGTTAAAAAAAAAAAAAAAAAAAAAAAAAAAAAAAAAGACACCTGTTTAAGAGGATGTTCACCTGATAATAGGAACTAACAGAAAGGGTATAACCAGCTGAACAGAGACCTCCCTATTTAGGTGTTTTTGCAACAAACAGAAATAACTGTAACAAGGAGGTTTAAGAAACAGCTGTCAAGTCTGAAGAGGCAGAGAAAACAATCCAAAAAAACTTAAGTTGTCTTAGTTACAGAACCGAGTGTGGAACACTTCCCATTCCTTTTCCTCATTCCATCCCTTTTTCTCATCTCCTTTGTGGCAAGGCTATCTTCAGTCCTAATATCATCCACGTGCAACCCTGCTACTAACGGAGGACTTTCACTTGCAGCCTTATGCAAGAACATTTTCCTCTTAGCAAGGACCTCCTCACTTGCATTGCAAATGTCAGTATTGCCATACAGCACAACTCCTCATCTCTAGGATACCAATATTATAGCTAATTGCCCGACAAGCAGAATGCAGGTTCCGTGGTAACATCTAAACAAGATTAATGAGTTGTGACAAACTCACAGGGTATGTGAACAGACACAACTCTACAGAAGACAGCAGACTGACCATTCAAATTCCATATTCAAGGTGACACACTGATGTACAGGCATTTCCAAAAATGGACTTTCCATAGTTAGACAAAACTAGAGGATGTTGATTTAAAAAAAATAAATTTAAAGCTATGCACCTCGATGTGCATAACTTTGGACAATAAGGGATATGCACCTCAATTTTAAGACAGACTTACAGCCCTCAGATATGCCAAAATCCTGCTCTGCTATTAGTGTGCTGAGGCTACAGAAAGCCTCCTCCACCACATCTGTCCAACAGCAGGACAGGATATCCTCCTAGGCTCTGTAGTAGAAGGGCACATTGCTCTGCTCTCCTCTTCACAGGGCTGCCTGCAGAGACCTGGCAGCTGCCAGCACAGCTGAATTTGACTGACCACCTGAAATGCCTGGTGTGTAGGGCAGTCCGACCTTGCTCCTAAGAAAAACACTGATGGTTGTAACCACCAGCTCCACTGCAAGACAGCAATTCCCTTTCCCATGTCCCTGGTTTTCAGTGCTCAACTCAGCTTGTGCACCCTTAATGTAAACACCAGGATTTAGCCCTAACACTGTGGGATTATGACTGCAGCAATGCTCTCTGTATGCAAGCCATGAACACCAGTCAATGCTGCTAGACTATTTGTTTTGCTTGACATCAGCAGGGCAAGGAATTGTGGCCTAAAGCACAAACATGCTGTACTATATCAATGTGTTCATATCAATGCTTGATATAAAACGTACTTTTATATTGAGCATTATATCTTGGGCTCTTCAGCTTTGTAACGACACTGCATACCAGCTGCCACAAACATAACAGGTTTTAATAGATTTTCCTGCACACTAACATTCGCTTTAATCCCACTGATACCAATAAAGAAGCACCTAAAAGGGTTAACTTGCAGCACACAATGAGGATTGAGCCACATTTAATGAGAATAAGGTAGTCAAATCCCTCCTCATCCCCTAAAACAGGACCATGTAAGTTCAAACAGATGTCCAACAGAGATCAATACTTTTTTAGCTCCATGAACAGTGATACTCTGATGTCCCACACAATCTGTTTCGAAACATAAATTCCCAAACTGTACTGTGCGTGCAAGGGGAATTCCCTCTTAACCTTTGAAGTGATTCAGCACCATCCATTCATGAGATCAAATATTTGGCTTAGTATCGCAGGGATGCAACAATGTAGCTGGAAGAGGGTAAGGTTACAGCCAGTCTGCCCTGATCCCAACGTTATCATTCCATATAATTCAGTGTGAGGAATTTTGCAAATGTTTCTATAATCATGTGTGACAGTAGCACAAGAAATGTGGCCCACGGTAAGGGTGAAGGAAATCATCTTCCTATTTGAAGGGCTCTGAAAACCAATTTCTTGATATATATCAAATGAGCTTTTTCATAGAAATAATCTGAAGCTTATGGAATTTGATACATTGACAGATCCACAGGTTGATGTTTTCTACTCTCCAGGGACAAATGAGCAAAGATTTCCAGAACTGAAGTTTTCTCACCACTGTGGCCTTAACCTACTCTGGAGAAACCACTTCTATGCCACAGAAAGACAGTAGACTCTTCCAGGCCCTCCAGGTTCTAGCCTCTCTGTTGAGATTACCATCTCACTTCAGGGTTAAATGTAACAAAATTCTGTGTGATGTGGAGATTTATCCAGTATAACGTCCCTGGCGTAGACCTTAGACGGAGCAAGAAAAGCTTCACCTGTTCTGGTGATACGACACAGTGTGGTGCTCCAGCAGCCCTCTCCTCTCCTCAGTAGCACAACACACCTTCCCCAAGGTGATGCACAAAAAACACCAGGGCAATTAAGATTCCTCTTTTCACTTCAAACATTCCTCAAATGCCCATCACCAAGGTTTTGTCTAAAAGGTACAAGCTGCAGGCAAGGTTGAAATGGGAGACTAGAGCCTTCCTGCCCTTGCAGGAGAGATGAGCGTGCAAGGTAAGAGAACAAATAATTGTAATGTCACAGGCTATTACTTGTTTCTTGCTCTCATTTCCAAAGCCTTACGTGCCAAACTGGAGCTGCCTGATAAGGTTTCACTGTTCAGTGCATGGCCATTTTGAATAGTCACAAACAAGTGAGACATTGGTCTGCTGAGACCCTCTGTCCTTGCAAAGTAGTCACACATTTCCCCTCTTCCCCAACAGGAACTCGTGGACTAAGACCCACAAGTTAGGCATGCGCCAGAAATTAACAGTTCAGGCTTTTTCCACTGCCTCCCACACTGAGAGGCAGTGGACATGCAAGCCACTGTTGAGTACTATTAAACCAGGATCCTGACAAAAAGACTATCCAACTGTGCCTTTCCATCGGGTTTTTCGCAAGAAACAGGCAGCACCAAGCAAAATCTAAATTAGTCCTCTAAGGCAGTGCTAGGACCCACAATCCTTTTTGAGGTACTGTGCTCTTACAGAAAAGAGAAAAAAACCCACCTGGTTTATTAGACCTCCTGCTGCCAAAAATGTAGCAGTAAGCAAAACAACTTACCCACACAAACAACTCACAGTCTAGGCTGGACTTATACCTAAGCCAGGCAGTGGTTTCTCCTGAATAACAATCCCTTATGTAGCTCTTGGCTCCATCCTCACAAAGTTAAATACCAGAGCTCTAAAGCTGGACTGCTGGGGCTACCGTAAGACCAGGGGTTCATCCCCTCTTCTGGTGGCAGTGACAATTTGCTCACACTTCAGAGGCAGCAGCTCACTCCCATTATGGAATTTGTCAGAAGGTCAAAACTTGAGATCCAAGTCCTGCCAGATTATCATTTTATACCCATAACCATAAAATGTAATTCCTCTTGTATCATTGGCACGGGTGGGACTATTATTAGATATAAAATTGCCTGGCATTAAGAATCAGATTCTCTCTTAATTTCTTGAGGCAGCAAGCGGCATGGTATTTAAGAGAGATTATTGGTTCCTAGTTGTTGTTGAGAGAAGACGTATTTATATGAAGTTAGCTCAATTACAATTAGGTTTGGGGCTCATAGCATTTCATATATAAGAAACAGCATTTCTTTTTCTCCACCAGTTCTCTGTTCCCCTGCACATTAATCAAAGTAAGGAAGTGCTTCTCCCACATTGAATCAGTTAGCTAGAGCTATCAAGAAGAAAGAAAAACAGATACTTTGAGGAAAGGGGAACAGGGATGTAAACCTACTATTTCCTTACTAAATAACATAACGCATTTAAGAAGTACTAATCTGCAAGGATTGATGTTGGTAAGAAATTCCAAGCAGAAAGAGGAGACCTCCACAGTGCATACGAGGTCCATGACAGATGTGCTGGAAACTGTTAGCCACCCATCACCTGATCACAAGCAACTATGAACAATGAGGGCTGCTGGACTGCTCCTCATAATGAAATGAGAGCCTGCCAGTCAAAGCTTGCAGATGCAGATGTAGTTCATGGCGTCTGTCCTACAGCTACAAACCCTACAGTAAAATGAATCTAATTCACAGACCTCTGCCTACACCCTACACAGAGAAGTTTAGTTTAATGGCAAGCACAGCTCAACAAGCACCTCTACTCTCTCTGTGACATCCGGCTACTACACAGGAAGGCAATGCTGATCTGTTCCAGTTTGGATGAGCAAGATGTAGTCTTCATGTACTGAGAGGTTATTAGTTCAGTCCTCATTGGAACTATATTTTGGTTAATGCATATATGAACTAGCTGAACAAGCTGGAAGCTACCATATGGAAGTTTGATTAACCATTTCCCACCAGATTTAAACAAACAAACAACCAACAACAACAAAAAAAACGTATCATTTCACAACTCATTTGGCTTGAATGGAACCACGGCAGACAAAGGTCTCTCAGCAAAAGGCAGTGAGAGCTGAATGTTTCACAGCTCATCTGTCCTGACAGCAATTTCAGGAGGGATTCCCACCTAGAAATATATTTGGAGAAGGCTCTGAGAACAAGCCCTGCTTCAGCTACAGCAAGTCCACTTCTTTTCTCAAATTCTTACTGCTAAAACAAAGCAGACACAATTGACCCATCTTACCTGTGTCAAACCCAAAACTTGGCACAATGTCCACTGTTCCATGAAAGGCTCCAGCCCATGCTGAGGTAGCGCTGGCGACAGCTGTAGGATCTGTCTTTGTCACGTCACATTGGGGAGCAGGAATCCTCGCTGCGCGGACTGAAGGCATCAGCAGGGACCCGTACCGGGGGTCGCGGTGCGAGCTGGGATGGTGGTGGTGCATGTGTGGGTGAGGGTGATGGCGATGCATGTACACATCATGCATGTGTGCATATGAAGGGCTCACCTGAGATGTTAAAGGATAATGCCAGGATTCAGATGCAGCAGGGGGAGGAGGTGGGGCAGTCTGATGAAGGCTGTGTCCTGGCCAGCTGCTGGGATCTGGTGATGGGAAGGTGCCTGGTGCAGTAACAGGGAAATCGGGGTGTACTCCACTTAAGCATGGTGGAGGGGGTGGCTGATAAGAGCTGGTCCAAAATGAAGTTGGGAAACTGCTCCTTTGATTTGAAATTGTTGAGCTTTCTGGCAGAGAGGAGAGAAATGAAGTATAACTGAAGCTGAACAACAAAATTTAATCACAAAACCCTCACAATGATCTTCTGCTCTCTAAAATCTGCCACACTGAACTCAAGCTCCCTCAGCAATTACAGCATCACAGGACAGTTGAGGTAGGATGGCCCTCTTGAGATCATCTAGTCCAACCCCTCTGCTCAAGTGGGGTCACCTTGATCAGGTTGTCCAGGACCATGTCCAGTCAGATTTTGACTAACATCCAAACTCTACCACCTCTCTGGACAACCTGTTCCAGTGTTCAGCTACCCCCAACAACTTAAAAAAAAACCCAAAACAACAAAAACCATCCAACAAAATAAAGAACAAGAGAAAAGAATGAAAGAACAACAAAAAAAAAAAAAAAAAAAAGTGATTTCTTATGTATAGATGGACTTGCCCATTTACTAATTCACGCCTATTGCCTCGCCTCTGGTCATGTCAGCAAACATTACTGAGGAGAGCTACCTCATTTTCACTCCCACCCATCAGGTATTTACACATATTGACAAGATCCTCCCTGAGAAGACTTTTCTTCTTCCAACTGTAGAGTCACAGCCCTCTCAGGATCTTGGTACAGGAATTATGAGTAGAGGCTGACTCCTGACTGGAGCAGAACACATCATTTAGAAAGTCAGCTGTTGCGGCTGTAAATGCTTCTAAGGACACAGCACCAGGTCATACCGCAGACTAAGAGATATTTGGCTAAAGGAAGAGTATCAGATCTTCTTAAACACTGCATTCTTTGATGGGATAAAGATCATAGCTAACACTTCTTATGTTAGTCCCTCACAGAATATATCACGTTGCTGTGTATCCAATAGGATCAGACAAGCAGAAACATCTATGTAAATGAAAGCATTTTTTTGTCAGAAATAAAAGACTCATTGCTTCTTACAGCTAGGGCTCAACTTATATTTAAATGGATTCCAATACCTCTACATTATGAAATCACATTCTAAAAATTTCTCTTTTGAAGGAGCAGTTAATGTTTTAGATGTGTAGGAAAGCACTGGCATCTTCATTCGCACAATCCTCTTGCCAGCTCATGTGTGAAAGTACTGCTTCATGCAGTATTTCTCAGCTCAAATAGGGTTTTTTTTTTTTGGTCAAAGGTGGAAACATAAAATTACAGGACTTCACTTCTATTGAAAGAACAGTCATAAAAATAGTCTATGGAGAAATAAAGCCAGGGAAGGTTCATATCTGATGAGGCGAGGAATCCTCTGTTCCTCATATAACATTTACAAAAATATTTCTTTTTCTTTTTTTTTAAATGACCTATTGTTTTGCTTTAGTTTAATAAGCAACTGGAAAGAGACTTGGGTGAAGACACCATTGAGAATGAACAGATTCTTCAAACACTGCTGCCTCTGAACTTTGCTTCCACAAAAATATTTTGGAAACAAAAACTGTGTTTCCTGACTGCATCACTAGGACACTCATGTATCTGTTTTAAAATCCATTAAAACCACAGATCTTTTTTTTTCCACACATCAATTGGCTTTGATTTAGGCAGTTTACTGAGCCTGATTAACTTTTGATATTGGAAATAGACTTTGCAAATTCACTCTGGACAAACATAGAGCATCTCTCTTTCTGTCAAACTGCTTCAGAGGCTGCAAGCTTATCTAGCAAGCTGTACTTCAACATGGTTTTCTTCAAAAGGCTGCCATATTTTTTTAACAATGTATTTCTATTGTAATTCATGCCAGAAGACTGGAGAGAACTATAAGTATATTACACAAGCCCCAGCAACCCTCCTAAATTGCTATTGTTCCTTGTTTGTAAACTGTTCCTTAGGCTGAGATGATGAGTGTATATGGCTTACAGTATTGGCAAAACGGGGGGGGGGGAGGGGAGGAAAGGGCAAAAATAAGCTTCTCCATGTCCAGTTTTTGTAAGCTGACTGTTATCTGCATGGAAAAGCCCTAAATCCAAACCATCTCACTTCAAAGAAGCATAGGAAACCACAAAGTATCTGTAGGACAACTTTAATACCAGGAGAGAGCACTTTAAGCCATTAGATTTGCCAGTATGAATTCATCCCAGATTGCACACTAGCTTGGTTTTACCAATCATACAGATGGCCTAGGCCACAGAAAACATGGTTGGTCATCTCCATTTTTCAAACCTGTGCACATTTCATAAAACCATTACCACAGTCAGAAACTGTCACAGACCAACCCCCCCAGAGACATCAAGTGTCACTGCAGAGGACAACCTCACTGGTCAAGTTCATGTCACTGGAGATACAGGGTCCATCCAGGTTATATGAACATGCAAGAAAACTACAACCACTCTGACTTCTCACATAGGATGCTACTAAGTATTAAGTGTGCAGCAAACCCACCAACAAGAACCACGCCTGTGTTGAACCACAGCCCCCAAGCACAGGGGTTTGAAGAGTGTTTGAAAGGTCTCCTTTCTTTCCCATCTGTAAAATAGTAAGCAGCACAACCTATTATCTTTACAGACACCATTATGTCAGATACCTAGAACCTATGAGACACAGCAATGGAGAAACAGCCATTTCAACACTGTTCTTGAGAATGGTGGAGGGGAAAAGAAAAAAATAAAAATAATAATAATAAAAAGAAAATCTGTGTAGCTTCCACCAATTCTCAAGAAGGCATTTTACAAAAATTGTCTGCCAAGAAAGATATTACAGTTACAATTTCCTAATCTAAGAACAAGAAGGCAGGGAGATGGCAACAAGTCAGATACCACGAAGTGGTGACTAATGCAAATGTTCATGGTGGCTGGCCAACATGCATTGAAAACATGCCAAAGCGCACATGTTGAAAAGAAGACAATGTATGGAATTTTAGGTAGTACAACATTATTTCTCAGTTAAAGCAGGAGGAAAAAAAAGACCAAAAACAAAACCCAAGAAAGAAAACAAATCTCACCACTTTCAGCTAGGAAAAAATATGCTGATAAAAATACCATTAAGGTACCATTATTTTCATTTACCCCCTGCAAAAGATTTCAGGTAGCTCCACCTACAACTGAATATTCAAAGTCCATGTTACTGGAGCCTGTTGTAGGAAACTATATTTTATAAAAAGCTAGTTTTGAAGTTAATTTTAGCCTGAACTAATCAGGATTTTCAACATAGAAAGATGAAGCCTTGCTCTTTTCGGGACAAGAGGTTCTATTTTCTACACGTAACAAAAATCCCTATTTGAAACAAAAAAAAAGCCCATACTATCACCTTAATTTACGCTTCCTGGGGGACAGTAAAAAAAAAAATCTCACAACAAGACAAAAAAAAAAACTCACAAAACATTACTAATTACTCCTTTCAGGTAAAGGAGAAATAGCAAAGCAAACTGAGTAGCCGGTTCATGTCCACACTTTCAATCTAAATCTGTACCTTCCAAAATTAAAAAGAAAAAAGCATTCGTATTTATCTTTGTGTAATTTGACAAAAATTCTGACTACCCGTGATGTTTATTTATAAAAGATCTCCAATTTAATGATATTTTAACTTTTTTAGGCAATAGGATACACGTCCATTTGCTGTAACTGAATACATTTGACAACTGTACACAAACCAGAAGACCAAGGCATTAGCATTGGTCCTTGCCTAACTTTTTTTCAGGAGGCATGTTTCAGAAACTCATTTGTGCCTGACAAAACCCTTGTCAGCTTCTGTTCTCTGGAGAAGAATATACTCTCAGCTTTTTCAGCATCCACAGTGCAGAACCAAGTAGCCCTGCCCAGCAGCCTCCCTAGGGATTTTCACACTGCTTCAGCAGGTGCAATGATGGCAGAGGACATATCCCCTTACTTTATTCCCAGAAGACTTTCATGAGCAGAGCTCCATTCCCTGCAGATGGCATGGGGCATGCAGGGTCAGGAGGCGGCATGGCTGAAAAACCCTTATGCCAGGCAGGCCACCCTGTCCCCTGCAGAGCCCTCTGGGGAAGGCTGTGCAACCACAGGGGGAGCCAGGGAAAAACGGCAGGGTATGTCTGAGGCCAAAAACAAGACACACAACCCCATCCATGGTATGTCTCCAAGCTCAGTGAAGAGGGCTTGCTGTAGGCATAGGATCTCTAGGGACTGCCTTGATCCCATCTCTAAAACATTTGTAGCCTGTCTGGGCCATTTATAAATGCTTCAGTCTCCTTTTTAGTAAGCATAGATTCAGTCCTGCTCTCAGCTGAGTTAACGGAAAATTTCCCATTAACATTAGTGGTCCCGGCTCAAGCCATAAATTCCTCTAGCTCCCTAGCCACTTGTACTGACCTTTGCTTAAACTTCCTCAGATTTGTCATCATTCTTCTGGAAAACAAGTCCTTCTGTGCTATTTTTCTCTTCATGGGGGTTTTCAAAAATTCTGTCTCTCCTTATCTGTGACTTCCATCAATACACTCTCACCTCAACATCCCTGATTATGAACACCACAACTCCTACAAGGATCCTCACAGCACCTCTCTTACTCACCACGATGCAAGGCCATTGCTCATGATACTTAGTTTGCGTCCCTTTGCCAGTTAACCTAAGGGCATGACCAGAAATAATGCAGCTGTGGATCTGAAAAATTACCCAGACACAGAAATGTGTGATGGCAGTATGCAAATGCCTCTAGTACCTACCACATCTCTGCTCCCTGAGTGAACGCAGAGCAAGGTTATCCCCTTTTCACACGCGGGCAGCCAATAATGACGGACACATCTCTCCCACCAGTTCTGCCCATGGGCAGGCTGCAATGCACCACACCACATGGCTACAGCCACGCGGGGCAGGGCTTGCAGCCGAGCCTGTTTCAGCCTCTGCTGGCTCCTCCTGACCTGGAAAGCAGCCACAGACAAAGCTTAAAACGCCTGGCAAAGTCACCCGAGAAGGCTGCATAGGTCTCTTCATATCCAAGCATCCAGTATCCAAACAGCTTTGCTCTTGCCTCACAGGCCAAGTTTCACACTTGGAGCTTAAAAATAAGCCTCTAACCTTGCAGCAGACATTTGTGAAGCCATGTGAACTCCGCCCCATTCCTTCCAGGCCTCGGCAGAGCCACAGCCTACGGCAAGCAAGGTGACTGCTTCTTCCATGCCTTTAGAGCCTCTTTC